ATTAGATTAAAAGCTATAAAAAGAATAGTTTTTTGCTCTTCTAAAAAGACAGTTCTTAAATAGCTCTTAATAGTTCTTGAAACTTTTGCTTTTATATATATATAAAGCTTCTTGTAATAATTATTTAATTAACAACTCTTTAATTAAATAACCTTTAACTACTATTCTTTAAATATTACTATTCTTTATTTTATTCTTTATTTTATTTTTCTCTATATTTTATTTTTATTTCTTTTATTTTGCTTTTTTGTTTTTTATAATAATATAAAGTAAAAAGCTAGTTTTTTTAATTAATTATTTAGCAAATACTAGCTTTATATTATTCTTTTATTCTTTTTCTTTTTCTTGTAATAATATAAAACAAATAGCTAGTTTTCTTAATTAGTTATTTAGCAAATACTAATTTTATATTATTGAAATTTAAAGGTCATATATAACTGTTAATAGTTTGATGATTAAGGCTTTACTTCTACTAGTTATAGTTTATGAATATTTCTAAGTTTTAAAGTTTAATAATTCTTGTACAAAGTAAACATTTTGTTACATCCAATCTGCACAGACTAGACAATAGAATTAGTTTAAAAGCTGGTTTTATTGTTATACCTTATAGTGCCTAGGAGGTTATTGAATTTAAATTCTATTTTTATATATTTATTTCTTATTTTTGTTTATTTTTATTTATTTATTTTTTTTTTAATGTTAAGGCGAGTAATTGCGACACAGGAGTTTATTGATAATCAGTTGGCATATAACTATTGTATACAACAGCTACAGAGGCAATCATGGAAAGAGTGTACAACTAGCCACTCATATAACTTTAGTCATTGTTTATTTTAAGTAGTCTGCCTGAAGGTTCTACACTAGTTGCCATACCTAGAACCCACCTGTGAGTTCTCTATTTAAACACTCTAGTTCCTGTATCCATACCTACTCTATCAACTGCAGCCATTGCTGCAAATATACCATGGTCACTAAGTCATATTTAACTTTATACTAAACCCACCAGAGTCTTTTGTATCTCATACTTACAGCTGACCCAATACCGCTCTGGCCTAGACCATCACTTGCAATCAGAGCTAATCATTAAACTACTATACCCTTGTAAAGTTCACAGAAACTCTGATACCTTTCTTTTCTAACTTATATACCCCTACTTCTGAACCTACAAGACCCACAAAACTTCCCAAACTACCAATCCAGATGGCCCATCTGGCAAATCTGATAGCCTAGTTGGTATGTGCTCCTCTACATATGTTGTCATCTGATCTATCCAAGGTCCTAGTAATCCTTTTTTGGGGGGCTTCTGATGGTTCGGTAGTACTATCAAAAGTCCATGCTACCTTTTTACTTGGGATTTTCAAATAGGTTTCCGACTCTTCAGTTTCTTTGCTTTCTATGCCTAGTGGTCTTATCATGGGTTTGCACTGAAGTCTTATGCAATACTGGTTATTAACATTCCTTTATGTGGATGTAATGTTACAGTTTGCATAGATGCCTCGAGCTTTTATTCGAGATAGTGCAACAAAGGTTACAGATACACAAATCCAACTAATTGACAGAGACAGTTACTATAATACAGACTTTATTTTCCAAAATTCGTCATCTATAGAATTTGAACTTTAGACCTGCCACTTGGGAGTTGACAACCTGACCACTTCACTAGGTCGCTACACCTCCTAGTTTATTATTTGTACATAAGCATTATTAGTAAAATATATATAAAATTTCTTAATTTCTACTATAGTTTGAATATCTATATAGTTCAAAATGATGTTACAACACATAGTAGCTCTAAAACTAATTAATTATTAGATTAAAAACTATAAAAAAGATAGCTTTTTATTCTTTTAAAAAAACAGTTTTTGAAAAGTTATTAATACTTTTTAGATAATTTTCTTTTAAAGTTTTTTACTTATATAAAAATGCTTTTATATCTTAAATTATTCTTTAATAAAATATTATTTTATCTATTTTATCTTATTATTATTAATAAAATCTATTCTTTATTTTATTTTTTATCTTATTATTTTTTATAATTAACTTTTATTTAGTTTATTTTTTTCTTTTTTCTTATAATAATATAAAGTAAAAAACTAATTTCTTAATTAATTATTTGGCAAATATTAGCTTTATATTATTTTTTATTTTCTTTTCTTTTTTTTTGTAATAATATAAAATAAAAAGCTGATTTTCTTAATTAGTTATTGGCAAATACTAATTTTATATTATTAGAATTTACAAATCATATATAGCTATTAACAGTTTAATTATCAAAGCTTTTCTTTTTCTAATTATACTTTATGAATATTTTTAAATTTTAAAGTCTAATAATTTTTGTATAAAATAAATATTTTGTTATGTCTGATTTGCATAGACTGAACAGTAGAATTAGTTTAAAAGTTAATTCTATTGTTATATCTTATAGTGCCTAGAAAGCTATTGAATTTAATTTTTATTTTAAATATTTATTTTTTATTTTTATTTTTTTTTATTTTTTTTTAAATAAAAGATTTTTTACTTAGAATTCATGCTATTTAAAATTACTACAACTTGCTAGTTTTTAGTAAATTTTATTATATTACCAACTAGGCTGCTAAAATAAATTAGAAGAAAAGAATTTTAAATTAATCTGATATATCAATAAACTGATTGTAGTCTTATATAGGATATCTGAATTAAAAATTTAAATAAAAGACTAAACAAAAAACAAGAATATACTAAAATACTGAGATTATGCTATAAAGTAGATGTTGGAATCTATGTAAATTCTATAAAAACATAATAGTTAAATGATATAATTCTGATTGCAAATGTTAATTTTATTATAGTAATACTAAATTAGCTATAAAAATAAGTACAAAAGACTTTAAGAGGTTTACCTTGAGGATAAAATAGTTCTAAGATTAAGATGATAATTTAGCATCTGGGTATTAGTAATATTAACACAAGTTGCAAGTTCAGAAAGTTTAAAGTGAAATATCCAAGTAGAAGTGTTAGGTATGACAATTGGTAGAGAACCTTTAGGCAGATTTCTTAAATAGATAATATAAAAAAGTTTCACATGTAACCAATTGTATGCTTTTCTGTAATGGTTCACTAAATCACAGTATCAAAAAAATCATTAATAAAAGTCAAAAGACCAAAAAGAAGTCATCTTAATACCAAAAAAAAAAAAATTTAAAACTCTAAAAATAAAGAAATTAGAAATTTAAAAAAAACAATTCTATCAATATAAATTACAAAAGATTATTATTTTTTAAAAAAAAATTTAAGAAAATGTTAATTGTATTTAGTAAAGAAATCAAAAATACAAATATTGTTATTATAAGAACAATACAATATTAATAAAGGCTATTACAACTATTAGACATACTAGTACAATTTTGAAAATAATTTTAAACAGAACAAACTAATAAAATTTTTTATACATATATAGTATAATGTACTGTATATACAGTGTACTGTATATACAGTGTACTGTATATACAGTATACAGTATATGTAAATATGTAATAGTAATAACGATAGATAATATACAATATACATCACACTTTTATATACAATATTACGATTTGAATAGATAATCACGACAAACAAACTTGTTTACTCCGGCTTAACATAAATCATCACTTTAAAAGCTATATGTTATATATGAATACTGTATATTTATTTTTTTTTAATTTGATTATAAAACAACGATAAAAGTAGTCAAATTAATTATTGTAATATATAAATTATTCATAAATTATATATTGTTTAATAAAATTTATTTAACTTCTATACAAAGAAATCAATTAATTATAAATTTATAAAAAACATGATTCATAGAAACAATCATTTTTTTTTGCCGGATTTAATATTAAGAATAGAATCATTATATCTCGTAAATCCCCATTTGCTTCCTGCGATTAAGAGAAGAAAGAGTGGAGCAATATATATATACGTAGTACAAATTTTATTCATTCGATTCTATTAAAATTTATAATATATATATATTTGATGTAATCATAAATTCAGCCTAACGTGCGTTATATGCAGACAATATTGGGTCTGTGCTTAGAAATCAATATTTTAAATATATTACGTAATTATTTTATTTAATTATTAATAAAATCCTTAAATGATACCTTGTACCTTCTGCCTTTCATCTCTTATACAGACGATAGTAATATAAGAGCTAAATAAATGCGAAAAAAACACGTCCTACAATAAGCAAACGAACACGTGCCTTGTGTCCCGACCCTTTAAGGTAATAATAGCATCAACATTGATAAAAATATATATTGTTTCAGAGTTGTACGTAAAATAAAAATCTTATAGAAAATTTTTTTTGTTGGACAAACAACAAATATCCTTAAAAGTATTAATGAGATAATAGAATTGGTAAATATAACTTTGATTTAATCAGATTGACAGAACCCTCTTTCGTCTATGGCACAAATTTCCAACGAATTACAGAATTGCTCTATTCAGTAGATATAATATAGTTATAATATGCAATAACTATTTATTTCAAGGAAAAGGAAATGGTTACATACCCAAATTGATCCAAATTGATAAAATTGACATATTGAAATGAGTTGACAATTAACACTTTAAACTGATACTCGAATTATTTTCAAGAGTATAAAATCAATCAATAGTCAATATAATTATAGCAAAAATAGGAATGATGGCGTTCGAAAAGAAAGATAATTGTTTCCGAGGTATTAATAATGATCATCTAAACATAATGATTACAATCGTCAGGGTGTGATGGTAGTATTAATTAACTGGAAAGTCACATGAATTTAAACAAGCTCCGTATTATATCTTTCCATTAATGCAATTCAATGATGTCATTAACAAACATGTCACATATGACGTTAATAGTATGTCATAGTTTCTCTTTACAAGTATTATAAATATCTTTTTCTATGTTCGCAGATCATAATAACTCTCCCCTTTTTTCTCAAATAGATAAATTATTTTGATTTTTTTTGTTCTATTGTAAAACAGTGATGAACCAATTTGCGCAACAGAGTTTTGCCCGTTACCCTCCAACGTTTCACAATACCGAAAGAAAGCAAGCGAATAACGTTAACTCTATTACCTTTTTTAATGCTCCTTTCAATTCTCCGGTCGTTCAAGTTTCCACAGGACCAAGATACAATAATGTACTACCACCGCCTAATCCTACCAGTAATAATAATATGCATCCACCTCATCTTCCACCTCTAAACCTACCAAAAAAGCTCGAAAATCAGCCACCGTCACATACGTCATCTACATCTTCGTCTCCCGAACCCACAAGCCATTGTCATCAAGCACAACCTTCTGAAAATAATGATGATGAGGACAATGAGACAAAGCGCGTCAAAACACTTGAAGAAAAGCGTGCCATTCGCTTAGAACGAAATCGTATTGCTGCTAAAGAATGTCGCGAAAGGAAAAAAGCTTACGTTTTAAATTTAGAGCGTAGAGCTACTCAAATGGAAAAAGAGAATTCGGTTTTACGTAAAAGAGTTCATGAATTAAAAGTTCAATTGGAATGGGCTGAATCAAAAACTGTTGGACCTGTTGAAAATGGTCAATTAGAAGCATTGGTAAGAGATTTGAAAGAAAGGGTAAAAAAAATGGAGAATGGTGAGGATTCCAATATTGTTTTTGGCAAGATGGTTGGTCAATTGTAGAAATTTTAATAGTTTTTAAAGCTTCCTTTTAAATTGCGATGAGTAATTATTCTACTTTAGCATGATAAGATACCCTTCATTGCGTTTGATCATTTACTCTCCTAAAAAAGTATTCTCCTTAATGTTATCCTGATATTATCCTGATGTTTTTTAGGATGTATTAGTAATAGTTTGCTTATTGCAAAAAAAAAAAAAACCAAAAATACAGGTGAAAATGTTTGTTTTTCTTTGATACAATGCACAGTGGATCAAAAAAGACACAAAGATTAGGTACTACTCAAAATCACACAAAAATAAACACGCAACCTTTGGTATGTTTTATACGTCACAACATCATATGATTCTTCGCACATGTGCAATACACTGCAATACACACTACTTCAACATTACGTTATGAGGCTTATTGTCTTATAATGAAGATTTTTTTTTTGCCCAATAAAAATCTAGATCGCGGATTAAGATTACACCGCAGATCTGAACGAATACATACATAGCAAAATCCCCAGATCTAATCTTTTTCATAGGTAACCGTGGTACGTTAGACCGAAATCGTTAAAAATTTTTAACTCATATAATATAATGTAGTATTAGACTATCATTCTGGATTTCATTCCCGACATTATTTTTTTTTATTTTTTTATTTCTTTTTGTTCTTGTTTTCGATTGTTTGATAGTTGTATCAACTTTTATAATAGGTAAGAATTGCATCTGCGAATAAAGTTATTTGTTGCCAATAAATTACGTACGAATATCTTAAATTTGGTTAAAATCGGCATTCCCAATTTGCTTTGTTCGAAATTATGATCTCTAGTAAAGATAAATTATCTGCATAAGCCTGCTCTCTTTTGAGGCTTCTATTAATTGTTAACAAATTTTAAAATATTTTAAAATATTTTTAAAACTTTAAAATTTATTGTTATATCATTCGATGATAAAAAAAAAAATAAGCCTTGTTTTTTAAATACATTAAATTCATTAAAATTAATATCTTAATATAAAACTGGTTAATTTAATTACACATTTTTTTTTAGAATGTCTCGTTTTTAAACACATGTTTATTAAGTCATAATTGGGTAATTATTTTGACAAAAACTTTTAATATCGATTTTATATTTCATTTTATTAATTTTACTAATGTTGGTTTAGACAATACTACCTCTATCAAGACAACTAAATATTACGTAAAATTTATATATAATATATATAATCAATAAGGTATAATCTCAATTATAGTCTTTTCTTTCTTTCCTTAATATAATCTAACGATTGAATCTTTTCTTTGATATAATTTTAATTATTTCAAGTTATATACAAAAAATGGCTACTTCCTACCCGGTGCTCAATGACCTATTCATTTTCCTTAATAGTACAATCACAGACATTTCAATAGTTTATTCAAGAATTCCAGGTTCAGGAATTCTCTTGAAATATATAAAAAATTCTCATCAAAATGACCCATTCCGCACTTTTTTGGAAGCTTTGTTGGTAATTTTTGCCATCATATATTTATTTACAAATAAATACCGTACCGATAATAAATTAATCGATCTAACTCCAAGCGTATGTCTCTTAAATAAATTATATTCAATTTTGTTTTTTATTTTATGCTTTTGATGAAAATAACTGTTCTTTGAATTTTTCTTGTTTTTAGGAAGTTGAAGAATTAGTTGAAGAGTGGCAACCAGAACCACTTGTACCAACTATTACAGAAAGCCAACGTTTAGAATTAGAAAAAACTCCAATCTTAAATGGGTAAGTTTTAATTTTATATTCTTTAGATTCAATTACTATTCTGCTCTTCGATTTAATTATGTCGATCTGTTGTAAAATATAGTCCGCAGGGCCCAAAAGTTAAATTAGTAAATTGCAAAAATTCCTTGATAAATCTGGCAAGTTTTGACTTTCTCGGATTAACTACAAATCAACTGATTAAGGTATTTTTAATCATTTAATCATTTTTATTTTATTTATGGAAATGAGTAGTTGATAATTTACACTAAATTATATAAACTAAGTATGTTATATTAATTCATTTAGGAAAAAGCAATACAAATCCTTAGAAAATATGGTGTAGGTTCATGTGGTCCTCCAGGGTTTTATGGCACAATCGGTAATTTTTTTTTTAAATAAATAAACTATTACATACTTTTTTTGGATTGAATTTCATTCCATTATCAATGATATACATAAAAAAACAGATGTTCATACAGAATTTGAAAGAACAATTTCAGAATTCCTAGGAACTGAAGACACTATATTATATTCTCAAGCTTTTTCCACTATTGGTTCTGCTATTCCTTCTTTTTGTAAAAGAGGTGACATTATTGTCGCGTAGGTTATTACTTTTTTTTTACTTAATTTCTCATTATAAAAGTATTTTTAAATTGTGTTTTTTTTTTTAATATTTATTCTTATTAGTGATCAAGGATGTAATTTCGCGATTCAAAAAGGTATACAAATTTCCCGCTCCATCATTAGGTGGTACAAGCATGATGATATGCAGGACCTTGAAAATGTTTTATTAAAAATTAAGAATGAAGATATTGAGGTACGTTGTTGTATTTGTATTCTTGACTTCCTTATCCTTATAATTTTAAACAATAATTATAACCATAATAACTTTATTCATTAGTCTGGAAGAAGACTTACGAGAAGATTCATCGTTACTGAAGGCATATTTGAGAATTCTGGAAAAATTGCTCAGTTACCCAAATTGGTATGCAAATATGTTGTTATATATCTTGTAAGTTACATGTTCAAACGCCGAAATTCATATCTTAAATCTTAATTTAGCTTGAGTTAAAGAAGAAGTTTAAGTATCGACTTATTCTTGACGAAAGTCTATCAATTGGAACATTGGGTAAACGTGGTGCTGGATTAACAGATTATTATAATATCAGTGTAAGTCACTATTGTTTATACTTAAATTACAGTCTACATTATTGATAAATGTTGAATTAATCATTACTACTCACCTATTCATTGCAGCCAAAGGAAATTGACATGATCGTTGGTTCCATGTGCACTGCATTCTGTTCTTCCGGTGGTTTTTGTTCTGGTTCATTTGAGATCACTGATTATCAGGTTTATATAATTATATTCATATAATTCGAATCTTGGGAACTTTTTTTATTCATCATATTTTTATTTATGTTCATTCTAGCGAATTTCTGGACCAGCATATTGTTATTCTGCCGCTTTACCTGCTGTACTTTCAGCATGTGCTACGGAATCTGTTAGAAATTTGGATAGAAATCCACATCTTCCGGCGAAAATTTTATCAAATACAAGTACTTTTAAAAGTAACATGTCGAATGCGAAATACGTTACAATTGATGGATGTCCCGATTCTCCAGTGTTTCATATAAGGTTGAACGAAAATGTAAAAGCTAATAGCATAGAAGAAAAGGAAAAGTTTCTTCAAGAAATTGTTGATGAGGTATGTTTTAATTAACTTATTTATCTTTAAAAAAAAAAAATCAAATAAAAGTTTAATTAATTAATTAATCAAATCATATTAAATTTAATTTTAAATAAAAGGCAATGAATAATGGAATTCTTTTGACTCGTGCAAAATGTGTGTATGCGCAAGAAATGTTTAATATAGAACCTAGTATTCGAATTTGCATCTCTGCAAGCCTTAGCAAAAAAGAAACTGAAAGGGCTGCGGCAATTACTAGAAGCGCAATCAATAAAATTTTGAAAAATAAAGTTCGATAACGAAAAAGTTGTATTTGGTTTTTTTTTTTTGTTCTTTAATGTAATTGTAATTTTAAATTCTTTTACAAAAAAATTTTTAAAATTCTACTATTTAATTGTTCAATTATATATAGGGATGGGAAAGTTTGCCAAAAAAAACAAAGTTAAGCTTGATTTAAATTATGTAAACCAAGCTTAGCTTTTGAACATGTTTGAAGCAGTTTTTTGCTATTATATAAAGGAAATTGTTATTTCCACATCCTTTTTTGATATTGCCACACCTCTGTTAATAAAAATAAAAATAAAAATAAATTATTAGGATTTTGGTTAGGTTTAGAGTTAGCAAAGATGTGGCAATATCAAGAAAAGTGTGTGGAACTATCAATTCCTTATATAAATTTTTATGCACCTTTTGCATAATTGTGCAACTTTATGTACGAATATACATGAATTATGTACGATTATGTGCAAATGTGTGTGAATATGCATGATCATGAAAGGGGTATATAAACCAAATTAGGTTTATACAAACTATACTAGATTTAAATTAGATTTTTAAACTAGTTATTTAGAACTTTATAGTTTTAATTGCATATATCAAAGTTCAGTCAAACCAACCTATCCCTAATTATTTGTGGGTTTTTATAGTGACAATGGTAACAATAAATATTAATAGAAATTTTGAAATGTTAAGTTCATCGTTTATTTTTAATCTGTTAATAAAAAAAATTTACTTGCAATAACATTTGATTAATGATAACATAACCGGTAATGATACTTGGTTTCAGTTATAAAGAATTAGCTTACTTATCCTAGTCATCACATAAAGGTGTATCCTTCGCTAGGTTTATAACAACCCGAAGTTGTATTCAATAAGAACGTAAGCATGAATAAATAATTATTTAAGAAAAACTCATCAAACTTAGACACTGACGAAGGAGGATAAAAGAAATACATGTCGACGTTATATAAGAGATAACAAGAATAATCTGCAGAAACTGGAAAACGAACTATGAAAACCTCTCTAAATGCATGTTACTATTTGGCACCAACTTATAAGAGCCCTATATATTTTATTCTCAATAAGTACAAAATTTTTTTAATTTTTTTCATTATGGTTCCGACGGGATGCACTTAGGGAGATGTAACTGTATGTCGTTCCTGCATTGAAAGCGTTACAAAGGTTTTGCCATTCGAATTCCAATCTTGACCACAAAATACACTTTCAGACCAGTCTTGGCCAGGCACCGCCATCCTATAACTCGCAACAAGAACCCTACAAAAAAAAAAACATGTAAAGTTCACCACATCCGGAAGATCCTCGATTTTAATTGGCTAACGGCCGTGGATCTGCCAAATTTTGGTCCGCATTACATAATTGTTTACACGTCGCTCTGGTTATATTGGCATTTTTGAGACATTAGTAAAAATTCGATATACGAACATTTTATGTTAAAATGGTTGAAAAAATGTCGGTATAGAAAGATTTTGTTATAATGTTGTTATATCCAAATGTCGGTATAGCCAAAGTGATGTGTACTAATTTCTGGCCAAAATTAACTGTTATTTCAAAAATAGAAAATTTAAAGAAATAATGGTAAATTAGCCCAGGAACAATTTTCACTTAATGGGCAACTGTTATTAGAGATGTTAATTTTTTTAAGTAATTTTTACATAACTTTGTATAAGATTTGGTAAATTGAAATTTCATATAATTGTAATTTTGAACACAATACAACATTTAAAATAAAAATAATATATAGCAGATGCCCGTATGTTACGTCTTAAATTTTTTTTTTACACGCTCATGCCTTTCCGGAGATAACCTTTTTAAATACTTCTCTCGCTGGTGCCGATGATGCTGACGAATCATTCGAATTATTTAGTTTCTAAGATCAAATTTTCGATGATTTATAAGTTACAATTCAGATCATACATTCAAATTGAATGATGCAATAACGTTGACAAAACTTTTGTAAATTTGGTACTTTATGTATAACGTGATGAAAAATTAACATGAAAATTAAACTTACATAAAATTACATGTAATGTAAAGTAATTTATATAACACAACCCTAGCCGTAATTTCATTGGTAAAATTTTGAGTAATTCCGGCCAAAAATTTTGATCGTCACTCTTAGCCAATCAAAATCGAAAATCTGTCGTGACAATTTTAAAGTTAGACATTTTCTATTATCGATTAGAAATAACGGAAATAATGTTTGTTCTCCTTTCTAGATAAGAACTACATGTCCAAAATAAATAAGATAAACTAATAGCTACTCAACAGAAACCAAGAATATCATACCTCTTTACAAAATCAAAGTTAATAATTTCATGAAAGTAACTGACACAAATCGTAAGTCAGTAAATTAACCAATTTTTGAACGACATTGGATATAGAATCTATACCTGAAAAAATAGAAACCACAACAAAAATTTAAAAAAAACATGTTTATGTACATATAATTTTTTAAAAAAGCTTTTTGTTCAAACACAACCAGGGCGACCACCAATTTTACGGATCATGTAGGTGGCGCCATCAATGTTCAATATGCACAATATGCAACACGAAACCAAAATTTTCATAGCAATAGCACTATAAATCTAATACTTACTGATCAATTGCTGCAGGCAGCCCCGATCATATCTTTTTGTTCATTAAAAAAACCGCAAAATAAAACTACGGTATCAAAGTCTAGCATAGCCTATATTTAAAAAAAAAAAAAGCAATTATTATTTGTCACTCGATCCCAATACTAATGACAATACTACGAAATAAACAAACGGGATCTCCTTGCTGCGTCACGTGGTCGCCAGCTTCCCTAAAATCGTTTTCCTATTTTCTTTCTTTTTTCTTCTCTTTTCTCTTTTCCTTTCTCCATTTTTTTCATTCAACTATCTACTCTGCCACTCAGTATCCAGCTTGTCCAGCCGGGCTACATAATTCTTCCTGTCAAACTATGTCCAATAACTGGACGGGTGAAGGGACTAACGAAGAGCTAGACTTGCGTCGAGCTTGCAGCAAAGAAAAAAGGTGTCTACAAAATTCTCTTAATAACTCCTTATATACCTTTTTTTCATGACCTCATACTTACCCAAATGATATAACGTCATTTCATTTCTCTAACTACTTACACACATATTACTCAAACTAAATCCATTACCTTCGAATTACATCAGTGATCGAGATACCGATCTCGTGATAAATGACTGCCCCGTGACTTCGTTCACGGCATTACATTTTGATGCGTATTTATAAGATTTCTTACAGTATCGGTATTATACAAACATGGATGTGCGTGTTTTTGTTACACCAAAGTACAAATTTAGACACGTGTATGTTTTTGTATCTTTCCAGTATTGTCGCAGTTCCGTAACAATCGTTAACATTCAATTTATTTATAACTCGTTTTCATACAACCATTTAAAACATTCATATGATTTGAAAATTTTAATAAAAACACGAAATTTAATTTTTCGCGTGTTAACACAATTTTATGTCTATATAATAGTCAATCAATCAGATAATATCCAAAAGTCAAATAATTACTAAACCTCTAAATTAATTTAATTTAAGGAAAAAGCTATCGTTCGTAAGATTTTTTGCACCTACCTATTATAAATTTAAAACCTGCCACGTGCTAACATACCTACCATTAAAGATGTTAATCGGTCCCACAGTAATTGTTAACCGGCCTTAAGCAAAAAATTGGTATAATGTACAGTTACCCGACATTTCATATGATCATGTGAATTTTTTTGCCATGATGTTTTTGCATGAAATTAGGTAATCAGTTTTGCCAAACATCACAGAAAACCTTTACATGGTCATATTAACTATCGGATAATATACGTATGACAAATAACGGGAAAATTTTTTCATCGGAGCTAATTTCACTCGTGTGCACATGGAGTAACATTAACTCCGACAAAAAATTCCAATAATGTACATTTATCCTATGATCATAAAAAACGTTTACTCGAATAACGGTAATTTGGCTCAATCGGGCAAATGATTGGCTGACACGTGCCGCGAAGTGGTTCATTTGCCCAATAATGTATACTTATAGAAAAGTCATAAAAGTTGATCGGTTTTTGTATTAGTTTCTGAGTAACCTAGGTGAGACCGATTCAATAAAATCTTCTTCACGCTGTTCAGTCCCATCTAAATTACTCAAAAACTAATGCAAAAACAATAGCATGCATGAAAATGGGTAGGTACTCACATAAGAAGTGTACAATAATATTGCTATTGGTCACAGCGTTTTGACGTGCCCTTCGGTCACATCATAAGCACAGTGTCCTAGTGAATAATCAGTTATCATCCACAACATGACCAATAACAATAACAAGTACTTAGAGGTCGATACAAAATGATGTGACTGGTAAGTGTTCGTTGACTTCCCTTTATTTAATTGGACATGTGACAGAAGCAGAGATGAAATTGGGAAATGCTATGTACAGACACTGAAACACGTGATCTAATTTCTTAATTCTGCCATATTCTAACACTAACCTTGACGATAATGCTGGCCATGCTGTGTCGTTAAGGTTAGTGTTCCGAAAAAGATCCAGATCCGATTCGTGTAATACGGATCCCTCACAAAATCCGTTCGTGTAATACCCGGATTACCTGGTCCGATCCATATGATAAGATTCTGAGGCACGGGCATTTATTCTGATTGGTCAAATGTTTGGAAGTGTAGATAGTCAAACAATAAGTAAGATCATCGAAGACCTGCGGAAAGCCGAATTTTTCGGAGTTTTTTTTTTTTTGAGATCGAATCCGGTCTTTTCGGAACACTAGTTAAGGTTAGTGTTGGCGTCGATAATACTGTGTCTGTATGAAATTATAGGGCGCAAAAATAATTTCGAATCATATGCCTTGTGACTTGATTTTTCCAGAAAAAATATTCAATATGAATGTCTTCCTATAAAGAGACTACTTTTTTTGCACTAACGCTAATCAAAAAAAAAAAATTCCCGACAAACATTGGCCGAATGGCGTGTTGAATGCAGCTGAGTGGTGCCATTCAACACGTCGAATGTTTTTATTTGAAGTTTCTAGTAGCACAAAATACATAAAAATATTCTACAGTATATAGTTTATAAATATATATACTTATATTTAGAAAACAGATCCTTGATCCTGCAATGTAAATTTTTTTAAACCTTTCTAAAATTTTCATCGAATTTGATTAATTGGATGTTGAAATGTCTTCAATTTTAAAACAAATAGATCAATTTGATAGATATTTAAATCTTTAAACCTTTGATCAAGAATATCTCGACATCCATCTAACCAAATTCTATGATCTTTTTTTATTGAATTCTGTCAACATCTAAGACTAAAATAAAAATAAAAATAGGTTGTTCCTTTGGACAGATGTTAAAAAAAATGGTATGGAAACACCTCGAGTTCCCTGTCACAAAACAATTGAAATTAGCCATAGTATTTTTAAAATTAGCATATCAAACAAATCACAAAATACATGACCACAACATTATAATGAGAGATTTAAACTAAAGACTCTTTATCTTTGACTTAAGTAAGGTTCTGATTAATTTTATTAGTTAAGGCTTGACCTAATTTTTAGTTTTTTGAGATGAGTCACAAACCATTTTATACATAAAAAGTTATATTTTTAATATCGATGTCGATATCAGATATAGATTACACCCACCTAATCCAAACAAGTAAGTTTGGGAGAAACTCTGGATTTGTTAGCATTTAGATTTGGCATTCTTCGGCAGATTGCATAAAATCATAGGTATAATTATCCAACTGTTTCTTTAATAACTACTAACAAATCGGGTACTTATCATGATTTGAACGAACTAAATTCTAATACACCTGACTTAAATATTATAGCTTTAACGAAAGTAGAATACTATATATAAAGTCAATTCTTATTTCATGTGCTTAACAGAAGTATATTTATATTACAACATCTAAGGTTTAGATAAAATAGATTAGTCGCGACAATGAATGTTTCAAAAGAATCGCACATATTTAGCGAGATACATGAATTTAAGTCTAAAGTGAGCTACCTAAAGTGAAAATGCTTAAATTGTTTCGACAACGACCTTCAATCTGCTTAAATCACTTAACGTCCCTAGATTTTAGAAGTTACGGAGTATTTTGTGCATTACGAATATCGGTAAAGTTTTTGAATATGATCGATCTTTGTGTTTCGTGATGCTGTTGTAACACTAAAAATGCAGGGTAGCTTCTAGTAATAGCATTTAATGTGAAACACAAATCCTAATCTAGTTCCAAGTATGCAACTTAAAAAAAAGTTATTAGTATTGTGCTTTCCAAAAGTATGTATACGTATCAAAATGTTTTCATCTACATTTTACCGAACAACTCAACTAGGCTTTACCCTTCTACGCCATAAACTAACACAACCTCACTTAACCTCTAATTTTCGTTATCCGGCTCTTAGTTTTATTAGCGCGAGCTCTACTCGTAGTAAAGTTACTACTATAAATTCACAACGTCCTCCGATAACACCATCTCCTAGCGATGGATTTCTTCAAGGCAGTGCTGCAAGTTACATTGAAGAAATGTATGAAGGATGGCTAAAAGACCCTAATTCCGTTCATTTATCTTGGCAAGTATATTTCAAAAATATCCAAGCTGGCGTGAATCCTCGTCATGCCTATCAACCACCTCCAACAATTGTGCCAACTGGAGCGCCCATTTCAGTCACTCCAGGAGGCACTCATGGAATAAACGATCATATGAAGGTACAACTTTTAGTAAGAGCTTATCAAGTTCGTGGCCATCATCTTGCAAGATTGGATCCTCTAGGCATTATGAATGCTGATTCTAAATTTCCAAACGAACTTGATCCGATGCATTATGGATTCACAAAAGAAGATCTTAATAGGCAATTTTCATTAGGTCCTGGAATATTACCACAATTTGCTAAATCTGGTGAAAAAAAGACTCTTCGAGAGATTGTCGAATATTGTAAACAAATTTACTGTATGTATAACAAATAAATTAATTGATCCATATGATCTCTAGATCCAGATTATGATCATTGTGAACATTACTTAAACTATTAAGATTATTCTCAGGATATTGAAATGTATAGTATTGAATTTTTATAAAAAAAATTTTTTTTTTTTTAAAAAAAAAAAAAAAACTGATTTTTTTTTGATTAAATTTTCAAATCTCAAATGGATTAAAAAAATTTTTTGATGAAAAATTTTTTGGATCTATAAAAACTTAATCCTATGTACTTCAATACCAAAAAAAAAAATTATTTAAAGCTGTAATTTTAATAATCCGGTTCGAGAGATCATTAAATCAAAGATTACTGGTGTAAAGAGGCATCTGAGATATAATATCTATGTAGGAATTTAAGTTTGAAAATTGCTTATGAAACTCTCTGATCAGGTGGTCCGATCGGCATTGAATATATTCATATTCCTTATCGAGCTCAGTGTGAATGGATTCGTACTCGAATAGAAATTCCAGTACCATATAACTATACGCAGGAGGAAAAACGCATGATTCTTGACAGATTAATATGGTCAGATTCATTTGAGAAATTTGTAGCTTTAAAATATCCAACTGAAAAAAGATTTGGTTTGGAAGGAGGTGAAATTTTGATTCCTGGCATGAAAGCTTTGGTAATGTTAAACTAATTGTGATTTTTAGATATCTTTTTTTTTTTTTTTTGTTTATTTTATTTATTTTGGTAATTTGCATAATTACTAGATTGATAGGTCTGTTGATCTTGGGATAGAGTCAATTGTGCTTGGAATGGCTCATCGTGGTCGATTGAATGTGCTTAGTAATGTAATTCGAAAACCGAATGAGTCTATATTTTGTGAATTTGGTGGGTCTGCAAATTCTGCAAATTCTGCCGGTGAAGGTTCAGGTGACGTAAAATATCACCTAGGTATGAATTATGACAGACCAACACCATCTGGAAAACGTGTACATCTTTCTCTCGCTGCTAATCCATCCCATTTAGAAGCTGTGAATCCTGTTGTATTGGGCAAAGTTCGTGCACTACAGCATTACACAGGTGATGAGAAAGAACGACATCGTTCTATGGCTGTTTTACTCCATGGTGATGCATCATGCGCAGCACAGGGTGTAGTATATGAAACAATGGGTTTTCATGATCTACCTTACTATACAACTGGGGGTACAATCCACATAGTTATAAACAATCAAATAGGGTTTACTACTGATCCCCGATTTGCACGTTCAACACCGTATTGTACTGATATAGCTAAAGTAGTTAATGCACCTGTCTTTCATGTGAATGGAGATGACGCTGAGGCTGTAACTTTTGTATGTCAATTGGCTTCTGACTGGAGACAAACTTTCAAAAAGGATGTTGTTATAGATTTAGTCTGTTATCGTAAACATGGTCATAATGAAGTTGATCAGCCTAGCTTTACACAGCCAAGAATGTATAAACAAATTGCTAAGCAAACTTCAACACTTGACATTTATATCAAAAAACTTTTAAATGAAGGTACATTCACAATGACTGAAATTGAAAATCATAAAAAGTGGGTTTGGGATACATTAGAAGAAAGTTATAAGAAGAGTAAAGATTATGTACCAACTAGTCGTGAATGGCTTTCTAGTTCTTGGCATGGTATTATAATTTACTATTATTATCGTTATTAACTAATATTAAATGTTTTTTGCTAACATTTGATTTGATGAAAGGTTTCAAATCACCTAAAGAAATTGCTGAAAAAATCACTCCTGTTTATTCAACTGGTTCTTCTCTTGAGTCACTTCAACATGTCGGTGATATTATTAGTTCTTACCCAAAAAAATTCAATATACATCCTGGTCTTGAAAAAATATTCAAAGCTCGTGCTAAATCTATAGAAAGTGGTGAAAATATCGACTGGCCCACTGCTGAGGGTCTTGCTTTTGGATCATTGCTACTTGAAGGAAAGCATATCCGTCTATCTGGTCAAGATGTAGAACGTGGAACTTTCTCACAACGTCATTCTGTTCTCCATGACCAAGAAAATGAAACTCAGTATACACCATTAAATCATTTACGACACGGTCAAGCTCCATTTGTTGTATGTAATTCTTCATTATCAGAATTTGGTGCCCTTGGTTTTGAACTTGGATATTCTCTTGTAAATCCAAATTCTCTTATACTGTGGGAAGGTCAATTTGGTGATTTTGCCAATAATGCGCAGTGCATTATTGATCAATTCATTGCAGCTGGCGAAAAGAAATGGCTTCAACGTACCGGATTGGTAGTATTATTACCTCATGGTTATGATGGACAAGGTCCTGAACATTCAAGCGGACGTCTTGAACGATTCCTTCAACTTTGTGATGACCATCCATATGTTTTTCCTTCTCCGGAAAAAATGGCACGTCAACACCAAGATTGTAATTTGCAAGTAGTATATTGTACAACACCAGCAAATTATTTCCACGTTTTGCGGAGACAAATTCACCGTGACTTCAGAAAGCCAGTAAGTAATTTGTGCATGCTATCAAGGGAAAATGAGACTATAAGTTTTCGTAATGTCAAACCCCTGAAATTTTAATCGGCAATATATAATACGAAATCAAATTTCGATGCGTATGATACATCGTTGATCAAATTTATTAGGGGTGTTGTCCATAATGCTATAAATTGAAAGTTCAAAGTCTTATTTTCCTTATACATCATTAAGGTTATGTTAATCATTCTATTTTTTCAATGAATTTATATATTTTATATCTTTTAAATTTTTACAGCTTATAGTCTTCACATCAAAGAACCTTCTTAGGCACCCTATGGCTCGTTCTAAACTTGATGAAATGATCGGCGAGTCTTATTTTGCTAGATATATACCAGATCCACATCCAGGCACGCTTGCTGCACCAGAAAAAATCACTCGTCATGTCTTATGCTCTGGACAAGTATATTATGCTCTTTTAAAAGCTCGTGAACAAAACAAGATGGATCATGTGGCAATTTCTAGAATCGAACAACTATCTCCATTTCCGTATGACTTGTTAGCACAGCATGTGGACAAGTATCCAAATGCACAGCTTGTATGGGCTCAAGAAGAACCTTTGAATTCAGGAGCATGGAGTTATGTAGCACCTAGAATTCGTACTCTTATGAATAGCACTGAACATAATAAAGGTTTGTAATTTCTTTGCATTATTATCGTTTTTAATACACAACTATTGACAATAAAATTTAATTGAATGTAAACATAGGCAAAGCTTCTAAGCCAGCAACTCGTTTACCTTCAGCTTCTCCTGCAACAGGAAACAAAAAACAACACACCCAAGAAGAATATGAGTTATTATCCCAAGCACTGATTGGAGAAGTTTTAAAACCAAAAACTGTTGTTTCTGGAGTACCAGTTTGGGAATAATAAAATGATTAAATTTTTTTTAGTAGTCTGCATTAAGACGATCTAAGTTATAATTTAAATTTAATCAACATTCGAGGTTCTTATTTATGCCTTTAAAAAATAAGATGTACTTATATTTAACACCCTTCTTTTGACCCTATAATTTATGTACAGTCAACCTTTCCATGTACATATTCTCTTCAATTGCACACTCTGGATTGTGCCTACGCGAATTTAAATGTTGTTATTGTCTGGATCGTAGCGAAAAGCTTTATGCGCGCTTTAACATATTCGAATTAAAATTATAAGTTTATGTAAATTTTTCTAAATGTATAATATGGCTTGATTTTATAAAAAATTTATCCTTAAACCTTCATCAGTTAGATGGAAAATTTGCCAGCTAAAATATTAAATTTTTTATATTTGATTTATTTTAATATTTAAAATTAAGAATAAAATAGTATATGGTATAGTTAGCACTCGTTATTATATACTTGGTTTCAAAAAAAAGTAATTATAATAAAGAACAAGTTTTTTATATTTTATAAATTAATTTTTAAAATAACATTATTATTTTGGTTACATTAACAGCTAAATTAATTAATAATTGTTTTTTTTTTTTTGGTATTAAGGATTAATAATTGTTATATTAATACTTTTTTTAAAAAAATTTATTATCTTAAAATTTTGCTAGTTACAGTATTTTTTGATGTTAAGGTGACCTTTTTGGTCTTTTGACTTTTATTAATCACTTATTGGTAATGTGGTTCAATGAACTACTACAGGAAAGCATACAATTGGCTACATATGTAACTTTTCTATATTACTTATTTAAGGAGTCCACCTGAAGGTTTTCTACCAATTGCCATACCTAACACTCCTGCTTGGATGTTTCAATTTAAACTCTCTAAACCTGTAACCTATATTAACTCACTGGGTTATCTTAGATGCTCAGATCATCATCTTAATCTTAGAACTAATTTATCCTCGAGGTAAACCCTCAGAACCTTTTGTACTCATTTTTACAATTGATCTAGGTATTACTATAGCAGAATCAACACTTGCAGTCAGAGCTTAACCATTAAACTGCTGTGTCTTTGTAGAGTTCACTTAGATCCTAACATTTACTTCACAGTATATTCCCAGTATTTTAGTATATCTTTGCCTTTTTTCTTATCTTTTTACTAAACTTCTAATCCAGATAGCTTTTGTAAGACAATAACCAGTTTTTTAGTATATCAGGTCAGCTCAATATCCTTTTCTTTTAGTTTGTTTTGATGACCTGATTGGTAGTACCTTCAAGACTTCTAACCTGAAGGTTTTTATCTGTTCAGTTATTACAACTAGATACTAAACCTTGGTATTTGTTTTATTAGACTAACCTTTACAATAAAATCATCAAAGATTCAGCTACTTCTTTATTTAGATTTTCTTAAATAGATTTCTTGTTATCTAATTTCAATGAATTTATATAACTACAAGGACTTATCTAGTGTTTGCATCACCTGATTTATCAGTTTGCATTCCTTTATATAACTTCAACATTGTACAGATGCTTCATAACCTGCTAGTTATACTGGTGCAACTACTATTACAGGTATTCTAACTCAATTATTAGTAATAGTTGCCATAATACAAATATTATATAAGTGATTATCTAAATTTTTGTTATTGATAAGATTTGAACACCCAATCTATTACTTGGAAAGTTGACAACCTGATTATTTTACTAGGTTATCATATCTTTCTAGTTACAGTATATTAACAATTTAGAATATATATATTAATTATATTAATATATTAACAATTTTAATATTAAAATTGTTAGTATTAATAGTTGTCTTTAAAGATTATTTATTAATTTGACTAAGTTAATATTCAAAATAACTTAGCTAATTATGTTCAAGTTAATATTTTTTTAAAAAAAAAGTTGGCTGTAATTGTTAGTTTTTATTCAATTCTAATGAATAAAGACAAACTTTATTATATATTTATAATATTATTTTGCTATTTAATTTAGATTATATTAACTTATTATGAATTATTACATTAGAAAACTATTTTTAATACAGTTTTGTGCAGATTTACAAAAAATTAAATAATAATTCAAATAAAAATCTATGCAAAATTTTAAGTCTAACAGTTATAGTCATAAAAATTAAATACAATTTTGTGTAAAACTTTAAATTTTAAAAACTTATCTAAATTTTTATTTAAAGTTTGCAAAAATTTGTATTTTTTTAAATTTTTGTAAATTTTTACAAATTTATATCTATTTTAATTTTTTAATACAATTTTTAGTATCTATTATCAGAATCGTAAAATAAATATAAATCTGCAAAAATTTAAAAAAATACAGATTTGAAGTATGGTTACCTAGTGAAGTGATCAGGTTATTAACCCTCCAAATAGTAGGTTGGATGTTCAAATTTTATCAATGATGAAAATTTAGATAATCACCTATGTAATATTTATATTATGGTAACTATTACTAATGATTGAGTTAGGATACCTATAATAGTAGTTGTATCAGTATAACTAGCAAGTTATAAGGCATTTGTGTAAGTATAACATTATATAGAGAAATGCAAACTAACAAATTAGATGATGCAAACATTAGATAAGTCCTTGTGGTTGTGTAAATTCATTAAAATTAGATAACAAGAAGTTCATTTGGAAAGACCTGAATAAAGAAATAGCTGAATCTTCAATAGCCCTACTGTAAAGACTAGCTCAGAAAAACAGATACCAAGTTGTAGCATCTGGTCATAATAGCTGGATAGACAAGAATCTCTGGATTGGAAGTCTTAGAAATATCATCAACCAAGCTACTAGAATGAATTGAAAGAAAAGAATATCAGGCCAACCTGATATATTAATAAACTGGTTATAGTCTTACACAGACTATCTGAATTGAAAGTTTGGTAAAAGACAGATGAAAAAACAGGGATATACTAAAATACTGTGATTATGCTATGAAGTAAATGCTGAGATCTAAGTGAACTCTACAAGGGCATAGTGATTTAATGATTAAGCTCTGATCACAAGTATTGGTACTGCTATAACAATACCTAGATTAGTTATAAAAATAGGTACAGAAGGCTCTGAGGGGTTTATCTTAAGATTAAATTAGTCTTAAGATTGAAACAATAATCTGAGTATCTGAGTATGACTCAGTGAATTAACACAAATTACAGGTTCAAAGAATTTAAAGTGGAATATCCAAGCAGAGGTGTTAGATATGGCAATTAGTAAGGAACCTTTAGGTGAACTCCTTAAATAGGTAATATAGAAAAGTTATACATATAGCCAATTATACACTCTTCTGTAGTAGTTTATTGAATCACAATACCAATAAATGATTAATAAAAATTAAAAAAACCAAAAAGGTCATCTTAACATCAAAAAAAAAAAAAAATACTGATTTTTGTAGAATTTTTAATAAAAATCTATACAAGTTTTTAAAATTAAAGTTTTGCTCAAAATTGCATTTAATTTCTATAATTATAACTATTAAACTCAAAATTTTGGTTTTTTTTTAATGTTAAAATGAGTATATATAACCTAGAATTTTTTTATTGATAATATCAGTTGGCTAGCATTTGTTGATGTAACAGTGCAAAAGTAATTATAAAAAAAGTATACAACAAGTTACTTGTACAACTTTAGTCATTATCTAATTTAAGTAGTTTGTATAAAGGTTCTATACTAGTTGCTATACCTAGAACCTATCTGTAGAACTTTTATTTAAACACTCTAATCCTATATCCATCATATCCTATTAACAATTCTGATAAACTGATGAAGATATGCCATGGTCACTAAGTCATATTTAACTTTGTACTAAATCTACTAGTATGTTCTGTATTCTATACTTACAGCTTACTCAGTATTGCTTTGGACTAAACTATTATTTGTAGTCAGAGCTAACTATTAAACTGCTTTTATTTTTGTAAAGTTCATCCAAAATCCCAGTATCTATCTTTCCAATATCTTCTTCATCATCCTTTACTAACTGCTACTTATGACTGACAAAACTTTCCAGAGTTCTAATCCAAATAGCCTGATATAATATACCTTAGTATCTTTTTCTTCTGATGATTCTGGTAGCCTGGTTGGTTATGTGCTCCTCTACACATCTTGTTATCCAGTTTATCTACCTATTCTTTTGGAGGTGTTTCATGGGTTTTCATCAGTCCAATAGCATCATCAAAAGTTTTGTGCTATTTTCTTATTCAGGATTTTCAAGTAGATTTCTAACTTTTTGATTTCTTCACTTTTCGTACTTAGTAGTCTTATTGTAAATTTGCACTAAAGTCTTATACAATACTGGTTATATATTTCTCTATGTGGATATAATATTACATTTAACATAGATGCTCTGAGCTTCTATTCAAGATGATGCAACTAAAAGTTACAGATATTGTAATAAAATTTACTAAAAACTATCAAGTTGTAGCAAATTTTAAAGTGATAAGTGTCAAATGGAAGATTTTTTATTTAAAAAAAAATAAAATAAATAAAAATAACTAAAAATAAGGAATAAATATTTAAAAATAGAATTTAAATTCAATAGCCTTCTAGATACTATAAAGATTTTTATGATAGACTAGTTGTAGGAAAGATTTGACCTATTGACCTTTTTGTATTAGTCAGGCTTAACAAATAGTTTACTCTTTACAAGAATTATCTGTGCTAGACTTAGAAGTATCCTAAGACATTAGAAGAGGTAATTAGCAATAGATAATCAGGCTGTTTTAAGCTATATATGGCTTTTTAAATTTTAATAATATAAAACTAGTACCTACCAAAGTACTATTCACAAATATAGCTATTATTTTATGTTATTACAAAAAAGAAAAATAAAATATTCAATAATATAAAGCTAGTATTTGCCAAATAACTAATTAAGAAAACCAGCTTTTCACTTTATATTATTATAAAAAATAAAAAATAAAAATAAGAAAAATAAAGATAAAATATAAAAAGAAATAAAATAAAAAACAAAATAAAAAATAGTT